GACAGATCTGGCCTCATATTTGAATTCAATCAGTCCCACTTTCTCTACCACTTTATTTACATCTATTTTATTATTTTAAGGTGTTAAAATTTGAGAGATTTTCATCGGACGATCTGTCAGATTTTCATCATAAACAGTTTAGCGCCCACCGTGGGGTTATTTTGAGCTTGATCCAAGCATCAAAATACAATGTTTTTCGCTGTTTTCAGTCACAAAAGATCTTAAAAAGTCGTTTATGACCAAAATCCACTCCGAAACCTTGCTTTTTCTTGGCAACACTACCAGTGTCTCCCAAATTCAAAGGTCTCAGAAACCTCTGAAACTTTGTGGATATGTTCTAAGGTATCTTTTGTGACTGCACAAAAAAACTTCATATCAAAATAAATTTTTTAAAAATACAAAAAAAATATGTTTCAATTCATTATAGGCTTTTTGTTTTTACTCTATTTTAATTTATTTCATCATAAATATTTTTATTTCCTACTTCTTCCAAGGTTAAAGTAGTCTTATTTCATTAAGATTAACAAGATAAAAATATAAAATCATAATAATTTTTTTGGGCGACACCAGCCGTGTCGCCCACCTTGCAAGGGCGACACCAATAGTGCTGCCTAGGCGACACCACCCGTGTCGCCCAACTGCAAGTATCCCAAGAAAATTCTGGGACCGAACAAGACCATTTCGGGGACTTTTGGCTCCCCCTTGACCAATTTTTTACTTTAAATAAAAATATAAAAAATATAAAAAAATATTTTGCTTCAAATAGATTTAATCTGTTTCTACCCTTTTTTATTTTATTTTAGTTTGTTAATTTTGACTGAAATCATATTTTCCCTACTTTCACCAAGGTTAGTTTAACTGTGTTTCATCAAAATTAAAAATATATATATATAAAAAATAAATACATTAGGGTTACTTACCCCTGCAAACCTATACCCACTCTTGGTCCGAGCCAAGACTCGTGCACTATCTAGCCTAGATCTTAGTCTAGGTTTTAGCATAGGTCTAAGCATAGAGTTGCTTCTAGAGCTAGACTAAGCTTACCCTAGTTCAGAGTCTAAACCAAAATCCATTGAGTCTAGCAAGTCTAGGTTCTAGTCTAGTCTTAGCTTAGG